TTAACTGAGGCTTAGAACCAGACTGAGTCAGTGTCACTTGATAAGTCAGTGGCAGCAAATTCTCACCTGGCCTTCTCAGCAGGCCTCCCTAAGGCTCAGACTGGGGTAAGAGTGAAAAATTTTGATCCAGGCCAACAGGTTGCCCAATTGCAGCGAAGTGTAGGAGCAGCACCACCCTAGTTCACATTTAACAACTATCTTGGGGAGGAGGGAGCCCCGATTTGTCACATTCGCTGATTCTTGTAGCATGAATACTTCTACCTTGGCAAATTTCAAGCTACCAATAGTTTAACACCCTGCTCACAACATTCTTGAAAAGTTAACAGGCAGCTCTCACAAGCTCCTATGAGCTAACTTGAGCTCAATATGGAGGGAGGAAGGAGAGGATCCCTACACTTATCCTGTGCCAAAAAAAAGGGTTGAGAGAAGAGATTACTCTCAAATCCAGGAGTGGGCCATAAAGACATAGGGAATTACTGTATTTTTTGCTTTTAAAAGTTGCAATCTCTGTTACCTAGCAACATAATCTCCTTCCTCCATTTCCTGTGTGAAATCTCCAGCAAATTCCACCTTGATCACTATTGAGGGAGCTCAAATACGAAATAGACAGTCAACATATGGGTTACTCTTTTTTTTTTTTANCTTCCTCCATTTCCTGTGTGAAATCTCCAGCAAATTCCACCTTGATCACTCAAATACTAAATAGACAGTCAACATATGGGTTACTCTTTTTTTTTTTTTAAAAAAAGGTAAAGTTTAACAGGATATACACACATGCACACCCCTTTTATTTTATGCTAAGAACCTGGGAAAGTAGGAAGGATGAGTTGGGTTAATGGACTGGCTGAAGTGACTGACTAGCTACTGAGCTCTAGACTGAGCTTCTCAGCGGGTTCACTGAAGGAGGGAGGGTGAGCCTTTACTACAGTTGTGAATAGAAAGAGTGAGTGAAAGTCAGCACTGGGGAAGGTTCTTAAGTAGAAGCCATAATCCATGGAAGAAGTAAATGTTGCTTTGAATTTATTCAGTGTAGTTTTTTTACCTCATTATATTTCATATTTATGTTTCAACATGTATTTCCTGTTTTAACAAGAACAATCAGCTGGGGATTGTATTAGGCTAGAAATGCTTAGACTTTGAGGATCCTGCAGGGAAAGAGACAGTCTACAAGCCAACATGTAAATACAAAATAAAATTCAATGTGAGAAAGGCTATTATAGGAGTATTGGCCAAGTCACAGAGAACACATACGAAGTAGCAGCTTATTGGCTACCCAGGGAACTCTTTAAAAAGCACATTCATGAAAAAGGTGAAGGGACTAAGAAGTGCAAATTGCCAATTAAAATAATTACGGGATGTAAAGTAAAGAGTAGGAAATATAGTCAATAACATGGTAATAACTATGTAAGGTGTCAGATGGATACTAGGCTTATTGGGGTGATCACTTTGTAAGGTATATAAGTATTTAATCACTATGTTGTTCACCTGAAATTAATATAATATTGTATGTCAACTGTAATTGCAAAATACATTTTTTAAAAAGCATACTCATTTAAATATACTGTAGGTTCACTGTAACTATAATTTTGAATTTTAGATATTTGACCCTTAACAATGACTGATATATATTTCTTATTATCTTAGTTATATCACAATGGAAAATATAATTTTTAGCCCAATAGAAACATTTGAAAGCTTTTTTGAAGTATAAATGATGTACAGCAAACTATAACTGAAATGTACAGTGTGAAGAGTCTTGGCATATGTATACATAACACTCCAATCAAATTTGAACATACCTACCACTCACAAAGGTTTCTCATACTCTTTTCTCCATTCCCCCCTACCACTGCATACCAGCCTTCGTTTCCAGGTAACTTCTGATAAACTTTCTGTCACTGTAGACTAGTTCTCATTTTCTGGAATGGAATCTACATTGGGTACTCTTTTTTTTGGTCTGGCTTTTTTTCATCCAGCATAATTACTGTGAGATTGATTTTTGTCTTTGTAGGTATCAATAATTCATTCCTTTTCATCACCAAGTAAAAGTAACAATATTTCATAGTATTTATACACAATCTGTCTATCCATTCACTGCTGAATGGACATGTAGATTATTTTCAGTTTGGGGCTGTTACAAATAAAGCTGCTGTGAACGTTAGTGTATAAGTGTTTGTGTGAATATAGGTTTCATTTCTCTTCAATAAAGACTCTGGAGTGGAATAGCTGGCTTACATGGTAAGTATATGTTTACGTTTTGAAGAAACTACCAAATGGCTTTTGAAGTAGTTGTATATTTTACTTTCCCACCAGTAGTGTATGAGAGTTCCAGTTACTCCACTTCTTGCCAAACTCAGTATGGTCTGTCTTTTTTTTTTGTGAAATGGATTTTTTGTGTTTGATATATGATTGGTTCCTGTTTTTTAAAAACCCAATCTTACATTCTCTTTTAATTGCTGTCTTTAAATTATTTACATTTAATGTGATTATTCATATGGTTGGGTTTAAATCTACCATTTTTGTTTTCTGTTTGCCTGCTTTTTTCCCCCTTTCTCTCTTTTTCTGCTTTTTTTTGGACTTAATTTTATAATTACATTTTAACCTTTTTATGGTTTTGGTTTTTTTTACGGATTGCTTTAGGTGAACACTATACATTTTGTTCTTCTCACCATCCACTTTCAAGTGATGTATACAACTTCTATTCTTCTGCTCACCATCCCACCCCTTTTCTGGCCTTTATCCTAGAGTTGTTAGGCATTTTTTTATATATATGTTATAAACTCCCCAATATATTATTGTTATATTTACTTTGAACAGCAGATTATCTATTAAAGTGACCTAGGAAATAAGAAAAAGTATTTTGTATATATTTACATATTCCCAGTGTTCTTCATTACTTTGTGTCAATCCAGTTTTCAATATGGTTTTATTTTTCTTCTGCCGGAAGGACTTCCTTTAGCATTCCTTATACTGCAAGTTTGCTGATATGAATTACTTCAGGCTTCATATATCTGAAAAAGTTCATATTTTACCTTCATTTTTTGTAAGGTTTGCTGAGTATAAAATTCTTGGTTGACAGTTTCCCCAAATCATGTTCTGTATTTTAATGATACTGTTTCACTCCCTTCTACTGCTTTGTTTCTCTTAAGAAGTCTGCTGTAATTTTTATCTTTCTTTCTATGTATATAATGTGTCTTTTCTCTCTAACTACTTTTAAGATTTTCTCTTCATCACTGGTTTAAAGAAATTTTATTATGTGTATTTGGTGTATTTTTCCACCTGTTTGTTTTGTGTGTGTGTGTGTGTGTGTGTGTGCACGCGCACTTTAGGTTTGTTGAGCTTCTTGAATCTGTGGGTTTATAGTTTTCCTTAGATTTGGAAAATTTTTCCAGCATAATTTTTTCAGAAAATTTTTTTGCCTGTTCTTTCTTGCTAGCACTATCATTTCACATATATTAGGCTACATGAAGTTGTTTCACAACTGAATGATTCTCTGTAAATTTTTCATTCAGTCTGTCTTGCACAGGGTTTCTGGGAGTCTACCACTATGTACAGACCAGCAGTCTTTGCTCCAGCTGGGAAGAGTCACACTTAGACAAAGATTTCAGGCTACTGTATATATTTTTCAAGATACTTGGTGTACTAGGACCAGTGTTAGAGCCCATGGGCAATTACTAAATCTGTTAAGGTTGGAAGCTTATGTGCAAGTAAAATTATTATTTTAATCCTCACCCAAAGATATGTTTTTATGCTGATTTTTAGAGAGAGAGAAAAATATCAACGTGAAAGAGAAACGTGGATTGGTTGCCTCCTGTACTTGCCCCAACTGGGAATTGAACCCACAACCTTTTGGTATATGGGACGACACTCCAAACAATTGAGCCATCCAGCCAGGGCACAGGTAAAACTATTTTTAATTTTTTGTATGGTAGTTATTTGCTTTGCTTCTTTTTTCATATTTAGCTAATTTTTTAAAGATTTTTTAGCTATTCTTAGCTGGGTCAATGAGAAACAAGGGAAAATATTTTTTATTAACCTTGAAAAGAGAGAGAAACCCAAAAGGTAGGTAAATTTCAGGGGCAAAGGAGTTGGTTGGTGGACTGCCATCCCCATCTATAACAAATACCTCCTTTCTGAGATAACTTCGGAGGAGCTGAATTTTGCTGTATGGGGATTGAGGGGGGAGTGATTTTCCCAACAAGATTCTTTACCGTCTTCTTCCTTCCCCACCCACTCACCAACATATACTCTATCTTCTTGTTGCAGACCCTTGTTCTCAAATAGCTGGCAACTAATGACTAAGATATTAGTTCCAAGAAAATTTAAGGGATTTTTCACCCAAAAGGATATTTGCATTTTAAATGATAACCCTTAAAGACTAAAAGCTGTTCTGTGATTAAAGGAATTAATAGTTAATGATGGAATTTCAGGTAGAAGGAAATCTACTGGGGACTGGGATCCTGCCAAACTGTACCACTGTGCCTATAGATTTTTATGCCAATATACATCTCTCTTAATTGAGCCCAGTTTGTTTTTTTAATGTACTGTTCAGAATGAATATTTAAGATGATTATTTTGGAGAAATTTTATCTATATATCACAAGGTAAATCTATCAACTTAGACTCTGAAAAAAAAAAAGATAAACTATATATTTATGGTAAAAATCTATAAAAATATATTTGTCGATGAGTTGAAGCTGAGATGAAACGGCCATAAGCTACGAATGTGGGTTGGTGTGCTGTCCTTGTTTGTAATACTAGATGTGACTTATGATATGCGTAAATTACTCATTCTTAAATCAGCATAGCAATTCTTTGTGAATTATACGTTCCTAGAAATTTTGAAATGGATACATATTTACTTATTTCTCTTTTATTTTAGAAAAGGCTTAGAGGATTAAAATGAGCATATTTTAAAAGTGTCCTTTAGATCATGTATATATGTGTTTAACAGTAGGTGAGACCTTTATTTTCTAACTTCATTAACATTTGCCTCTTAGGTATTCAGAGGATGACTTTCTTGAGACTGTGATGCATATACAGAACTGTTCATGGAAACGACGAGCAGAAGAATATAAGAATTTTAGGTAAAGTTTTCTTCATAACTAATATGAGATGAAAAATGGACATTTGCTGTGTAGGGAAGACAAGCAACATGCTGTTAAAAAGAAGAGTAGGAGGAGCCGAGTGATGTTCAGGATGATTTCATTCTGAGACCCTCTCCTGAGGCACCTGGTGCTCCATCCTCACCATTTACACAGACATTTGTAATTTTGTTACTGGAATTAATTATAAAATTCCCAATTTTAAAAAGGAAGTTTTTGTTATGCTTTTTATTGTTTTATAGCATATTGCTTATTTTCTCTACCATTTATATTTGGTGTTTATTTATTTTGTAAATAAAATGTACTAAGCATTAAGAATGTTTGGGAAACCTAGAAAGGGGGAAAAATCCATAATCTCATCACTTTAGGACAAAAACTTCTTTTCTGTACATTCTCTTACAGTTTTTCTTATTTCCTTTCTAATACCAGCAACATTCAGGAGTGTGAGTTTGCTCTAGGTAATAACCTGAGGAAGAGTCCTCAACCTGACAAGACCAGGTTGTCATTTGACAATTATAGAGCTATCCTGTGCTTGGATAACTTGGAGGCCACCCAGACAGAGATAAATTATGTTAAAATAATATGCTATGGAGTGTGCATGTATAATTATCTGGCACCCGTTCCCCCTAATACCTGCAGCTAGGCCATGGCCTCTGTACTTGCTCGGTCTATATTGCTCTGCTTTGCTTTGCCCACATTCTGATTTTTTGCTGTGCATCAACACAGGTTTTGTCTTGTGCAAAGTTTTTTTTTATTATATTACAATCCAGAAATATATTTTTATTTTTACTGGTTCATATTTTCAAAGTTTAAGCATCATATCTTTTAGAAATCTTATTAAGGACATTTTGCTTTCCCTTAAGATTCTCTAAGAAGTTTCTGCTGCTTGGCTTTCTTTACTGTGGGAAGGTAGCTCTTCTCGTTCGCATGGTGCTGGGGCTCCGCCTGTCCCACCTTCAGCCAGTGTACACTGGAGCTGTTGGGCCAGCTGCCTTTGATTCTGCTGCTATTTTGAGAGGGGTTCTGGTCAGCTCCCATTAAGTGAAAAAGTAACTTTCTGATTGGGTCAAAGCTAAAAATAAATATCTTCCTTCCACTGAGTAGACATGTGGCTATTGTGACTTCCTGTAGCATCTTTCCTGTCACTTCTGGATGAGGGGCCAGAAAGGGGATTCCTGTTTAACTGTTTCATTTCCAGGATGTTTTATGCTACAGTCTGTTGTACAGGGTGGGGCAAAAGTAGGTTTACAGTTGTGAGTATGCAAAACACAATGTTTACTCTTGTATTGTTATTTATTAATTGTATTATTTTCCATATAAACAACTGTAAACGTGATTTTGCCCCACCCTGTATTCTGAACGTGTCCCCTCAAAAGTCATAAATTTAAACCTAATCCCCAATGTGACAGTATTTGGAGGTGGTGCCTTTGGGAGATGATTAGCTTATTAGAGTAGAACCTTCATAAATGGGATTAATGACTTTATAAAAGAGACCCCCCCTAACTGCTCTCTCTCAAGCCTTCTACCATGTGAGAACACAGCAAGAAGACAGACGTCTGTGAGCCAGAAACTGGGTTCTCCCCAGACAGCGAATCTGCCAGCTCCATGATCTTGGACTTCCCAGCCTCCAGAACTGTAAAAATAAATTTCTATTGTTGCCCTGGCCAAGTAGCTTTGTTGGTTAGCAGGTCATCCTAATATGCCAAGGTTGCCCCAAGGTTGCGGGTTCAATCCTCAGTCAAGGCACATACAAAAAGCAACCAATAAATGCATAAATAAGTGAAACACAAACCAGTATCTCTCTCTCCCCACCCTTCCTCTCTCGCTCTCTCTCTCAAATCAATAAATTAATATTTAAATTTATTTTGTTTATAAGCCACCCAGTCATAGTGTTCTGTTATAGCAGGTCAAAGAGAATAAGATATAATCTTACTCAAACTAGATTTGAGAGACTTTACTGACAAGGAGACCAGATAGAAAACTGCACAGGCAACTACAGCCTAAAAGGTCACAGGGTCGAAGAGTGGCAAAGGAGTCCAATTCTGAGATACCTTCTACATGTGCAGAACAGGCAAAAAAGGAAGAGGAAGATATTAAGGAATTGAGTTATTGAGGATCAATCCAAGATAATTAGCTAGAAAAACTAAGTAAGTAGTGACACCAATAATCAGTCTGGCTCTAAAATTGATGCAAGCCGAGCCTCTGAGAACAATGCAAACAAAACAAAGTCTACTCAACACCTGTTGGAGGGCACTGGTGTGCTACAATCGAGGCAGGGAGAATTTACAGAAGATCCGGAAGAAGGGGAAACCGAGGGAAGTGAGCCCACCATCTGGGGCTGCTTTTCCTCTGCAGGTTTTCACACATAATGTCTGGCTCAATTAAAAAAAGAATTCTCTTTAAAGACTTTTTCTTTCTTTCTTTCCTTTTTTTTTTAAATTTAAAATAAAAATCAGGAGTCTCTTCAAATCCAAAACTGCATGAGAATCACTGCTACAAATTATGATGGATAGAAGCTGGATAGATGATGAATGGCATGCAGACAGACTGGCCATTTTCCATTTAGTATCATCTCGGTATAAAAAGTGCCTCAGTAACCATGATGATCACCCAGTGGCCTGTCTCTCCCTCAGGGTCTATTCAAGTAAACATCTGGGACTATAATACTTATTGCTTATTGTTATTCAAGAGAACAGTCACGGTGATATTTATTTATTTATTTACTTGAATATTTATTTTATTGTAATGTTCTTTTTATGGGCATTTTAGGAAAGTAAATTATATAAACCCTCAACAGAAGTCTGTGCAAGTAAATCATAATAAACCGCCCACTCTCCTAAATTTTTACTAATACAGCTGGCCAAATCGGGGAAGTTTCTGGCTTACTTATAAAATGTCCCATATTATTATAGATGTAAAGTAGCTAAATTATTTTCCATTTTATTTATGTTCAGCGTTTTATACCAAACTGAAGAAAAGTGAAATGTGAGCCTTAAAAAAGGGATGCTATTCTTTTAGTAGAAATCACAAAAGTTACATTAAATTCTGAAAAGTAGAAGCAAGTGGTTATTTTCTAAATCCATCTGCAAATTGCTGAAACTCTCAGCAGCTGATACCTAGGGGCTATTTGAAGATTATGGGATTTCTGTGGTCACATGATGCAAAGATAAGAGCTCTTATGAATTATTTTCCTTAAATAAATATGCCACTTACTAGCAGAAGGGATGCATTTTATTTATCAACAAATCTTTGTTTCGGGTTTACCTTGTTTTGGCACAGGAGACCCCTTCAGCCTGGTACCATGCAGGGTGCAATGTAAGACTCTGGTGAATATATATTAAATGAATGGATGCATGAAAGTAAATAAGAAAAACGCATGCTTTTCTTATTGATCTCAAAGAAATTGTAGTTAGTTTAGAGAGACAAAAAAACCCCAACTATGAATATGTATGATTTAGTGTCAAAATGAGTGAATTATACAAATACCGTAATATATTAATGCATGATCACCATGGGATATGATTTCTTGGAATGTTTTTTGGAAAGGGGCAGGACTCATGCTGTAACTCTGAGGATGGGTAGAAAGGAAGGGAGAGAGCAATATGGGAGTGATGGGATCAGGAATAAACATGAATGTTTCAGGACACCTTCACTAAAGCAGTGAACTTATACTAGAGTGTGCCTGGAATAAAGGGGATACTTGTAGGTCAGTAGGGGTGCTCCTCATGATACCCAGGGCTCTGGTGATCAGAGTAAAGTCCACAGGCTTTCTGTAGACACCCAGAACCCAACAGAGATATTTCTAGCATGGAAATCACATGGTGAATTTATTATTTTAGAGACTGTGTCAGTCAGCAAAACGTTATTTTAATTGCAGTCTTGGAAATGAATAGACTGAAGGAGGGCAGAGCACTCAGGGGCAGATTGTACAAAGGTGACTTTAGAATGATGAAGATCTAAAACATCAATCATAGTGGTAAAAATATCAAGGAAGGGACATTTGACTGTGAGCTCCCTGGGGTCACGTGTGTTTTACTTACCTTTGTATCTCCAGTGCCCGTCATATAGGTGGTACCAATAAATAGCTGTAGTTACATGACTGAAGAATTGGCAGCACTTAGTTGGTTATTTATTCATATTTTTCTAATTGGAGGAAGAGAAAAAGAAAGAAGTGAAGACAAATGGAACGGTTAGGTCAGGTTGATTGGGAAAATAGTGGTGCTACTGACAAGTAGACAGATTTCAAAGGGGGATGGCTTGTGAGAAGATGAGCTCGTCTGGACAGGCTGTGTTTGAGCTGCCGTTGGGATGACCTGATGCAGAAGACATTGTCTTTGTTCGGGGGAAATATAAATGTTAAGAGAAAATGGACTTTTCTGAAAAAGAAAGGTGAGTGCTGTTTAAAGTTACTTCATGTAAGAAATATGGCCCTTTAAAAGCCTATCTTCTCAGCAATCTCCCCCCCTTCCCCCCCACTTAACAGTGTTTGCCCTCTTTTTATAGATGATTAAGCTTTTACTCATTCAGCACCTAACTGTGCATCTGAGAACTCGGAGCTGGAGCTTGTGTCCCTAACTTTTCACAGCCTTTCCCTGAAAACAGCTGAAGTCTGTGTCAGTGGTTCCATGTAGCCCTTGAAATTGTATGTGAAACAGTGTGTTTCTTGGAAAAAGATCCTTAACTTTCATCAGATTCTCCAGGAGCCTAGGACCCCTGACTGGACTGAAATATTTCTAAGAACTCTTCAGAACCCGAGGCCTTGTTTACTTTGGGATTTTATTGCTTGTTTCACCTTTCCAGTAAGCATGGTTATCATAAGCTTAGGGTGGCTCTCTCTGATTTACCCCTCCCGAAAATCTGGACATTCTAAGTTTCTGTAAAGAATTGGTGTTTCTGTGAGATCTTAATTGAACCTATTTAAAGAAGGATTTAAGTAAGAGTCAAAGATGTCCTACTCTCCTTGGTTTTCCTTTGTCATTTAA